CTAGCCACGTGGACGTGACAGGGAGAGAAGCGCTGAGGCAGCAGACACGTGAGCGAAGCCTTCTTGTGCCGTCCAGACCAGCCCCATTGTTACGTAAGCCCAGCAGAGTCAGTAATCCCAGGTGATACCACGTGGAGCAGTTGAACCTTGCCAAAATTCCTGACCCACAGAATTGTGAGAAATAGCAAATCATTTTAAACCACTAAGTTTTGGGCTGGGTTCTTGTACAGCAATAGATAATTGATACACCAGCCAAACTGATTTTCAAGTAAAGAGAGTACCATATGTGGCAGTCTGATCGGCCGTGTACTTGAGACAACCAAAATGACTAGAGAAACATCAAAGTAAAGACTAGAGATGAGCCATAAACTTAGGATTAGATGAGGGATCTAAATGAGAATATAGTATGTAATGGCTGTATGTTTTGACAAAGAAATAAAATTCAACCGTAAAAAATGTGGGGAGAGCGTATGCAAAACAAGTCTTTTAAACTATCTACAGCAATCATATTTTTGTGGTGTTGGTTTTGTATTCAGATGTCTTCTGTGTATTGAGCAGCAAAGCAAATAAATTATTTTAAATTATTCTAATTCTGTTATCTCTTATGTCTGAGAGCCAGGAGTCTCTGTGTGGAAGAAATAGTATACAGATGTAAGTTAGAAATTAAGTAAACACCGTGTGCTCCTGATTTTTAATTGGAAGCATCAGTATGAACTCATGAGATATTTTAATTTTATCTTAAAACGGTGTGTATATTATATATGTATATATTTTTGTACATATGTATATGTATAATGTTAATCTGAGAATGTTTTATGTGTATTGTGGAATAAAGCAAATGAATATTTATGTGATATTTTAATTCTGACATTTCCTAGCTATGTCTACTGAAAAGTCCCAGAAATGAGCAAACCCAGTTCCCAGAATGTGGTGTTGAAATGCTGTTGGCTTCTGAAAGAAACCAGGGTGCCTTTGATAAATCTTTGATTCCAGGTCTGGAGCATGAAATATGTAAAATAATCTTGGAATATTTTTATACCATATACCAAGGAAGCTATCAACAACTGCTAACTAGAGTCATGATAAAAGATTCAGGAGCCAACTTGAAGAGGCTCTGGGATGACCAACTATCCCAGTTTTAGCACTGAAATACCCTTCTGTCTCAGGAACCCTCAATCTCAGGCAAATCAGTAGAGTTGATCACCCTCAGAAGCTCCCACTGGCCGAAAATGGGACAGTGTGAGCATCTGCAAGGATAAGAGCTACAACGGATTGGCATCCTTAATTATGTTTAAATGTGTGTTCATAACAATAGCAAAACCAGAACAAAACTCACTAATTGTTCATCTTTGGTGGCTATTAGGAAAGCAGTCCTTCATTTTGAAAACTGATAAACCAAGGGAAAGAATCAAGTATTTATTCTCATTCTTCTGAATGAACAGTACCACTGGGTAAATAAATAGTAGATGAGGTAAAGTTTCTTTTTATAGAGAAATTTTATGTGCTAGCAAATAAAGGCAAAATGATAGAATTGAAGTATCACCATTTTGTAATCACTATGTTTTAATGGATTTTGACATTGAGTGTCAGTGGCTGCTAACAAGACAAAAAGAGAAAATCATACGTGTGTTACAAATATACCACCATGTAGTGAATAATCTTGCCAAAAATATTAAACCTGAATCTGATGAAGCTGCCTACATTCAACTGCTAATGTGCAGGAAATATGGAAGACAGAAGAACATGTTAAACTACACTGTGGGAATGTAGTCAACAAAACCCAGTCTGTGGGAAACCGTGTAGTACAGATTATCTAATATATTCAACAGATTGCAAAGAAGAGAAGAGATGGTGACGGAACCTATATAGATTTAAAAAGGGCAAAATTAAACTATAGCATTTAGATATATACAATTCAGTAATAAAACCATAAATAAAAGTAAGGAAGTGATTACCACAAAAGCCGGCATAGTGGTTTCCCTTGGTTGGGTGGGAGGGTGGCAGGGGATGCATTGCAGGCTGTCGTGCCTGGGAGGGAGTACGTAGAGTGCATCTGCAGTGACTGACGTGGCTCTGTCTCCTGGGCTGTGTGGTGGTTCTGAGTTCATTTAGCTATGATTTCTGTATGTGGTTTTCCGTGTTTGTAATGCCATCTATCTATTTTTAAAGACTTGATTTTTTTAGAGCAGTTTTAGATTCACAGCAAAATTGAGAGGAAGATAGATAGGTTTCTCATATATCCCCTGCTCCCACACATGCATAGCCTCCTCCTAATCAACATTCCCAGCAGAGTGGGATGTTTGTTACAGCTGATGAACCCACAAAGACACATCATTATCACTCAGAGGCCATAGTTGACATTAGGATTCGCTCTTGGTGTACATGCTGTAGATTTGGACAAATGTATAATAACATATCCATCGTTTTGGTAGCATACAGAGTATTTTCAGTGCCCTAAAAATCTCTGTGCTCCGCCTATTCATCCCCCAACTCCTGGCAACCATTGATCGTTTTACTGCCTCCACAGTTTTGCCTTTTCCAGAATGTTAAATAGTTGGAATCATAGAGTATGTAGCCTTTTCACATTGGCTTCTTTCACTAAGTGATCTGCACTTAAGGTTTCTCTATGTCTTTTCATGGCTTGATAGCTTTTTTTGTAGCGCTGAATAATGTTTGTATTATATTTGATAGTAAAAGTCTAGAAAATAAGGAAGGAAAGGAAATTGATTGCAAGCAACTATATTAGGAAATGGTGAGAGTTGATGCCTTAGAGATTATCTAAGACTTGTTAACTGAGGATTTCATTAAATACCATTCTGAGAAGATTCTACATAATCTGAAGTTTATTAAAAAGGGGCCTAGAATGCTGAAAACTATGTTTCTAAGAAGATAAATCTGGCAGGATGGCTTTCAGTAAGAGACTGGAAAGCTAGCCAGGAGAGCAGAATGTTAAGGTGAAGGTGATAGAGATTTGGATTAGGGTGATGTTTGGAGGAATAGAGATAGAATAACCGTTGTGTTATGCACCAGAAGAATAGTCAATAAGACATGGTGACAGATTAAGTATGGTTAAAATAAAAGCATTAGAAATAAGCTCAAAGATTTTGTTTGAGGGCATACCCTTCCTTGGATTCATAGTGGGGAATTCTCGAAGGACAATTCTAGACTGAAGTAAAATCTGGTTTTTCTCCTCATGATGTATTTAGAATCCAATGATTGCTAGAGATTCTACATTCCAAATGGTTCATCTAAAAATGCAATATCTGACAAGCAAGAAACTGGTAATAGTGCTTGTTTTTGCTTAAGTGCATAGTTGGGACATAGAGATATGAAGATGACTTTTATCTGTTTTGTCTTTTGAATTTTAAATCATGTGCTTATATTAACTAATCAGAAAATAAATAAAATTAAATTAAAAGGTAAAAGTGCCCAAATCTTCCAATTTCAAGGGGAAATTCTTATTTGGCATTCTTTTATTGTTTTAAGTATTTTTTTTGTCTTTTAAAGATTGGCACCTGGGCTAACAACTGTTGCCAATCTTTTTTTTTTTTTTCCTGCTTTATCTCCCCAAACCCCCCTGTACACAGTTGTACATCTTAGTTGCAGGTCCTTCTAATTGTGGGATGTGAGATGTGGGACGCCGCCTCAATGTGGCTTGACGAGCGGTGCCATGTCCGCACCCAGGATCCGAACCCTGGGCCGCCGCAGCGGAGCGTGCGAACTTAACCACTAGGCCACAGAGCCGGTGCCTATTGTTTTAAGTATTTTAGACTATAAGTTACTTAGAAGAGCAGTCAGATAAACGTGTTTAATACTTGGTTCCCTTTGACTTACATACGTTTGTAAAAACATTGTTATGTTTGTACGTTTACGTTGGTGTGAGTGTGTATATTGTGTGTGTGTATTTTGTGGCTTGTGGGTGCATGAGTGTGGCTCTGGTGTGTGTTTCACTCAGAAAAAAATGCGTATAGCTGGAGCCTTAGGGACTTACCTGTCTTTCCAATACTTTAATTCTTATTGCCACCAGTTGGTATTTTTCCTCCTTAGACAGGAGATGTTCTTCCTTCTCAGCCAGCTTCAGGGCCATTCAAAGATGGTGGTAATGCAGCTGCATAACTGTCTTTCTTTCATATCACCACTGAAACTGAAGGTCACTACATGCCTGTCATTCCATCGATCTCCCTCCTCCTCATTCTCCCCCAAGCAATTGCCCTGGACCCAGCTTCTGTAATAAAGAGTCTGAAATACATAAGTCTTTATTTCGTGTCTGAGTCTTTTGGATAGATAAAGACCCAGTATTAGATCTGGTAATGAAAAAGGAATGAAATAGGAGGAGACATATGTATGATAGCTTTTTTGTTTTAATAACTTTCTCTTTTATAATTTTTATTAGTGATAAAAAAACCGTTAGGAAAATTCAAGTAGAGCATGCTTATTCTTTAAAGTCTGGTGAAATTGGGAGAAGGCTTAAGTCAATTCCCCTAGGGCCCTAGAAAAGAGAAACCAGGATTGGAAACAGGAGGCAGTAGGAGGAAGTTAAGCAGCCCTAGCACAGTGGTCGTCAACCTTGGCTGCACATTGGCATCACCTGAGGATATTACGAAACTACAGATGCTTAGTTCCCACTCCTAGAGTCTCTTATTTAATTGGTCAGGACTATGGCCTGGGCATTGGAACTTTTTGAACCTACCCACTTGAATTTAATATGCAGTCAAGACTGAAAAGCACTGGCTTAGAGAAGAAACCTGGTCTAGAACTGAGAAGAGTCCCTGGGTTTCATAGCAGCTCAATCCCAGATTCTCTCCACATGGCATAAACTGGAGTTTAGTGTAAAACAATGCTTTTTAGTACTTGTGATTATTTAGGTTTCTGATTGGTGGAAAACAAAAACAACATGAATGAATCTTTAGCATCTGGAAAGAATGTACAGATTCATGTACTAATAGTAATAAGACTTAATGGATTGATTATACTTATTTAACCTTGGGATATTTGCACAGGTTGCCTGTGATTTGCTTCGGAGAATAATTCGCATCTTATATCTCAGTAAGAGACTCCAAGGACAACTGCAAGGGGGGAGTAGAGAGATAACAAAAGCTGCTCAGAGTCTGAATGAACTTGGTAAGTTCTTTTTTGATTAAAAATTTAGTAGAATTTTAATGATTTTTGAGTCACTTGATTTGTTGACTTTTGTTATCACCGTTAGTAAATGTTATTGAGCAAATTTATGTAATAGTTGGTTGTACACAACATTGTCAAATTTTTCAAAATGGGTGAGTAAAATTAGTTGATTTCTTAGAAATGCTGTTTATTTTAAAATTACCATATAGGAAAGGTGGCCTTTTTTTCCTATACAGACCTGTGAATTTTAACGCATGTATAGTCATGTAACTGCCAGCACAATCATGATACAGAATAGTTCTGTTATCCCCCAAATTCCCTCATGCTATCCGTTTATAGACACCCCTACCCCTACTGCTGGCAACCTCTGATGGGTTCTCCATCACTGTAGTTTTGTCTTTTGGAGGATGTTGCATAAATGGGCTCATGAAATATGTAACCTTGAGGCTGCTTCTTGTAATCAACATAAAACCTTTGAGATTTATCCAAGTTTTTGTTAATACCGTAGTTTGTTACTTTGTATTTGTTGGAGTACCATTGTATGGTTGTACCACAGTTTGTTTATTGATTCACTGGTTGAATGAAATTTGTAATGTTTCTGGCTTTTGGTGATTATGAATAGAGCTACTATAAACATTTGTGTCTAGGCTTTTATGTGAACTTAAGTTTTCATTTCTCAGAGAAATATCCAGGAGAAATGCTGTTTTTAGGTGACAAATCCCACATTGCCATTGTGCCTAGGACATTTATTGAATAACTTCTTCATTCGTTCATTCTTTTCTCAAACATTTAGAGCAGGCTCTTAACATTCAAGGGTTTAACATTTGAGGTTTCAGTATAACAAGCTGGCAGGTCACGATGAAGCAGTTCATAATTTTTCAGGCAAAATTTTGAATAGCTACTGAGTGTGCATAGAACTACCCAACACCTGCATTTTAATGAGGCTTTGTGGTTTTCTTCTTTTCATTTGGTACCCAGTAATTTTTCTGACGTGGATGTGTTTAGTGGTATTTGTACCTTTGTAGGTTCAGAAGGTCTTTGATTATATCCGTCTCAAATATCAAGAGTCCACTTACTCTTGGTGGTGTGCTTTGAAAGTAGTTATGCCAAAATAATATCAGAAAGATGTGCATTATATGTTCTCTTTGAATCTTCCTGTCTTTGATATTTCAACTACATAGTCATGCTGTAATGCTTTTTCCATATTTTTTACTAAGGAAATGAAATATCTTTCACAAATCACGCTTCACCAACATTTCAGTTTATAATGCTGAAATACATTGCTTAGGCACAGCATTGGGAATATATCTAACTTGAAATTTGGCATACTTGAAATATATTCTATAAAAAGTTAATGTTTAAACAGTAAGTAATACTTGAGTGTTTTTTTCCACAGTACGTGCTAAATGTAGGAGTGTAAAAATCCTAGTATCAGGTGTTATTTTTTGCTTTGTCACATTTAGTTTCTGTGCTTCAAACATAATTCATAGGATAATAGAATCATTAAAAACAGACACAAATTATTCCAAGGTTTATTACATATATTTGTCATCACTGACCATTCTTCCATAATAAAAAATTGCTAGATTTTGAGTATGATTATCATCTCTCCTAGAAGCAACAGATGCTGTAATGCTAATGATGATGACTTTTTTTGAAAAACAGGCACAATATCAATCATAATGTTCTGAGTTGGTACAATGCAGAGTATAAACCCATTATCCTTCCAATGAGGCATTGACTTTACCCAAAGTTTTATAAATATTAAATGATTAGAGCTTGTTGAGAAAGTACAGTTCATAGTGGAATTATCTCAAAATGAATTGTTTTAATTTCAGTATTTAAAGCTTTGCAGATTATGGGCTATTCAAAATTTGCAAAGGTATCATCTTCATCATTCACCACTGTGGTTCAGTCTTGGCCAGTCCTGGCATTCATAATAAGAAGTCAAGAGGAAGATAAAGTGTCTACATTTGGAATTAATATTTCAATAAAAGTAATAATTTGGTAATCACTGTTACAATTACACGTGTACACTAAATGATATTTGTATGATTGGAACATCTCTGAAATGATCAATGTCTGTATCAGTATGGTTCTGGTTCTCATTAGAAAAAATACAATGATGAAGAGCAGCAGTGTGAAATTAACTTTAAAACCAATCTCTCTAGCCACAACTAAAATATACAACTATGTATGTGGCGGCAGGGGGTGGTGGGGGTAGGGTGGGGGACGGGACAGGGTTTGGGGAGGAAAAAACCCCAAAACAACAAACAAACAAACAAAAAACCAGTCTCTCAGCATGGAAAAGTCTGGAGGCTTGCATTGCAGTGACTGGATGTAATACATGTCATCTAAAAATTAATAATATTCTGAGGGGCTTGGGGGAGTGTGGAGTGACTGCTGATGGGTACAGATTTCTATTTGGGGTGATTAAAATGTTCTGGAATTAAATAGTGGTGATTGTTTCACAGCCTTGTCAATATACAAAAAAGCCACTGAATTGTGCACTTTAAAAGGTTGAATTTTATGGTATGTTAATTATACATCAGTTTAAAAAGTGTATTCTGGTACCTAGTGACAGTTATCTAATACTGGTACCTTTTTTTTTTTTAAATTGAGGTTTAAGTGACATACAATAAACTGCACATGTTTAAAATGTATAATTTGGTAAGTTTTGACTTGAAATCATCACCAATATTCAGATAGTGAACACAACTGTCACCTCCAAAAGTTTCCTCGTGCACCTTGGTAATCCAACTTCAGGCATTTACGTGTCTGCTTTCTGTAACTGTAAATTAGTTGGCACTGTAAAAATTTTTATATAAATGGAATCAAACGGTTTATGTGTTTTTATTTGGGTTTTTTCAGTCAGCTTAATTATTTTGAGATTCATCCATGTTATTGTGTGTATCAGTAACTCATTCCTTTCTATTTCTGAGTAGTACTCCATTGTATGGATATCCTGCACTTGCTTTATCCGTTCACGTGTTATAAATATTTGAGTGTGCCTACTTTTTGGCTATTACAAATCAAGCTGCAGCAAGCATTCATGTACAAGTCTTTGTATGGACATTTGCTATCATTTCTCTTGGATAAATACGTAGGAGTGGAATGGCTAGATCATGTGGTAGATGTGTATTTAACTTTTAAAGACATTTCCAAGGTGTTTTTAAAGTAGTTGTAGCATTTTACCTTCCTACCAATAGTGTATGGAAATTCCACTTCCTCCACATCCTTGTCAGCACTTGTTATAGTCAGTCTTCTTAATTTTAGCCATTCTAATAGGTGTATAGTGGTATCTTGTTTTGAGTTTACAAAAAAGTTACTACAACTAATGAAAGAGTTTAGCAAGATTTCAGAATACCAGATCAATATACAAAAATTGGTTTTGTTTACATATACTGTACTATTAACAAGCAATTGGAAATTGAAATTCAAAAATACCACTTATAAATAGCATCAAAAATATGAAACACTTAGGGTTGAATTTGACAAAAAGCACACAAAACCTGAACTCTGAAAACTAGAAGATGTTGTTGAGAACAATTAAAGAAGACCTAATTTGGGGCCGGCCCCCTGGCCAATTGGTTAAGTTCATGCACTCCACTTTGGCGTCCCAGGGGTTTCACCGGTTCGGATCCTGGGCGTGAACATGGCACTGCTCATCAGGCCATGCTGAGGCAGCATCCCACATGCCGCAACTAGAGGGGCACACAACTAAAAATACATAACTATATACCAGGGGGCTTTGGGGAGAAAAAAGGAAAAATAAAATCCTAAAAAGAAAAGAAGACCTAATTAAATAAATAAACCTTGTCTGTGAATTGGAAGATTTAATGTTGTTGATTAATATGCTCATTCTCCCTAAATTGGTCTATTTAGATTCAACACAATTATAATCTGAAACCCAGCAGGTTTTTTATTTAGGAATTGACAAGCATTTTAAAATTCATATGGAAATGCAAAGGATCTAGAACAGCTGAAACTTGGAAAAGAAAACAAAGTTGGAGGCTTAACCTTACCTGATTTGAAGGCTTATTACAAAGATTGACAGTAATCAAGACAAAACGATAGCTAAATAGATCAATGGAACAGAACAGAGAGCCCAGAAAGAGAACCACACATACGAACAGCTGATTTTTGACACATTTAGTGGGGAAAAGATAGTCTTTTCAACAGATGGTGCTGGAACAATTGGATATCCATATGCAACACAGTGGACTTGTATCCATACCTCACTTCATATAAAAAAATTAACTGGAAATGGATCGTAGTCCTAAATGGAAAACTTAAAACTGTAGAACCTCTAGAAGGAAACATCAGAGAACATTTTTGTGACTTTGAATTAGAAAATGATTTCTTAGATATATCACACAAAGTACAATTCACAAAAAAAGAAAATTGATAAATTGGACTTCATCAAAATTTAAAGCTTCTGTTCTTTGAGTAATACTGTTAGAAGAATGAAAAGACAAGCCATAGACAGGGAGAAAATATTTGCAAAATATATATTTGATGAAGGATTTGTGTCCAGAATATATTAAAAACTCCCCAATCCTTGGTAAGAACACAAACAGCCAAATTAAACAACAGGCAGAAGATTTGAACAGACACTTCACTAAAGAAGATACATGGATGGCAAATATCCATATAAGATGCTCAACGTGATTAGATATTAGGGAAATAAAAATTAAAATCATACTAGTGTCTTATTGACAGAGAATAACGGAGTTATTTTATGAAAGTGCAGATTTATTATAATCTGTCATGTAGATTATTATTGTGTAATAATTAAAACATAAAAGTACATAGTATAGATTTCAGGAGTAAATTGTATCACATTGATTTATGGCTTTTCTTCAAGAAGAGTCTTGGGATTACATGAAAATTTAGATGGGCCTGACTACACAGTGATAAGATTTTTTGAGTATTAGTAAGATAATATACTCAAAAATATTTTTTTGATACTCTTGCCAACTACCTTTTAAAATTGTTGT